AGGTTTTCGTATTTATATGGAATGCAGTCGAGTTTAGTGGAAACCAGGGTGTGGGTGTTCTTCTGTTCTTGAACAACACAGCCACACCCACACCCAAAACGTGCTATTAAAGTTTTTCAATTAAAAAAATATTTCAGATTTCTTTTTTTTTTTTTTTATAGAAAACAAATTACATCGATCGCTACGGATGATATTTATTTTTTGTAAACCAAGTTTTCTTTAATGTTTCTATACATTGTATTTTGTTAAGTACATTGAATTGCTTTGCAAAGTGAAGAAAACAAATTCTACCTTGTTTTCCAACAAAATATCAATGATATCAATCTGTCAAATGCCTTGTTTATTCTTTAATTTCTTTTTTCTCTCTAAAATATTTGAATTGAAAATATATTAATCTTCTTTTGACTTATTTTATTTCGATAATAAGAGAACAATCATAGATTTTTTATATTAGGAAAATAGGCTGTGAAACATTCAGAATTAATAACTTTGTAAATACGTAATTCAATCAATTTAGAACAATTGATCCGCATTTCATTTCGTGTGAAATTATGTGTTGCTTTTCGTAGAGGACAATAATCGACATCAAGTGAGATGTTGTTCGATATAAACGTTTTTGTATGATCGAGAAATTGTTCGACATAATCAACGTGAACACATACAAGAGAAAGTTTAGTAAGATGAGGATATTTAACGATTGAGAAATTATGATTGTCGTCATGTGATTTTCGATACTGTTTATATTTCTGAGGTTCCGAATTATTTACTGATAACATTTTAAGATATGGAAAAGCTTGAGCAATTCGAATAAAAAATTTATGTTCAAAAGGACGTTCATCAAATAATGTTATTTCACGAACACATTCAAATAATCCACCTGAAAAATTATTTGTTATCCTTCTGTAATGTCTCATTGTATATGGATATGAATAAGTATGACATTGACCAATTTTCATTCTTCGAAAATAATCAACACAACTTATAATTTTATTGTTTGTGAAATTTATGAATGTATGATCAATTTGTTCTTTTAATGACAAACAAGATTGACCAAGACCATATATAATTGATCGAATATTAAATACAAATTTATTTAATCGTGATAGATGATTAATGATATTCTTCGTCAAATTATCTCCATCAATGAATATTTCAGTGCTATTATGAACAAGATATAAAGCTAGTTCTTCCAAATTTAACATTTGATGTAAGAGAGGCACAATTAAATTCAACTAACCAAGAGTACCATTATCACATGTCAAAGAAAAACACCTTAAATTAGGAAGTTCTTTCTAAAAAAAAAAGACAGAACAATATAATTATATTGAGATTATCAAGAACAAATATTTCTTTTCATGCTAATTATCATATCTTTGTAAATTAACTTACTTTATTATCAATCACTATCAACGGACAAGAAATTAATTCAATATGAACATAGAATGTACGAAGTTGATTGAAATGACCATCAAGTAGATAAAGACAATCTTCAAAACATACCAAATTAACATACAATTCTGTCAGAGTTGAAGAAAAAAAACTTGAAGATTTTTCATTGAATGATAAATCATAAGAAAATGAACAGGAATTTAAATAACGTAAATTCGTGAAAACATTAAAGATAAGTGTATATATTGTTGTTATGAAATCTTTCATTGATGTTTCATTATTGTTGTTGTTGACTATTGTAATAATTAAGTTATAAATATGATTTTTATAAATATGAGCTAAAGTGATTTCATCTAAATATATATATATATATAGAAAATTATTAAGCAAAAATATCATTCATTTTTATTTAACACTTCTATGACATGAATGATTTTCTCCTTCGAAATCAAATCAGTAATACTCCACAAATGATCGATTATTGACTATATCTATCAATCTATATATATAATGTTCAGTGTGTGTGTGTTTCTCTGTAGGGTAAAAGAGCAAACTTCAAAAATTAAAGATTAAAGGTTAAAGTTTCTAGCATTTTCTCGAACGTTCGAAAATTATGTGAACGTTGGTAGTAGTTTCTAGAATGTTCTGGAAGTTTTGCTAAGAATTCTATAGAAAGTTTGAAAGGTAAGGTCAAAGGTTAAAGGTCAAATAAGACTTATAGGTCCTCAAGGGCTATTATATGGGGATACCTATAGGCTCTGAAGAGAGTAACGCAGTAAATAAATAAAGCTATAGGGCCGAAAGCTATCTATATACATAATCTTGAGTGTCTGTATGTCTGTTACTGGATATACAGTTAAACATCTGAGCTCGTACGCTGAAGGAGAAAACAGCCGTGGAGTATGCACGGGCTCTCGCTAGTGTCATTATATTTTTTATCTTTAAAAACTTTTCAAAGAAATCTCAATGAAAACATTTAAAATCGCATGTAAGATATTTTTAGTTATTTGAATATTTATGTTTTTACATTGTATGTTTTTTTTGTGGCTTTTTACATTTCACATATTAATCTTTCTCTTAACGTTTTTATTCTCATTTCGCTTTCAAGTCATATATAAATGAAATGAAACATTATTTTCATTCGAAAAAAAAAGAAATCCAACAAATTAATTCAATCATACTAAAAATTTGCAAAAATGATTTATTTTTATCTGCAGATACTTTTTATATTTTAATCATGAAAAGAATCGTTGTTAAAATGCTTACCAATAAATAAACGTTTAAATGTTTCTTCTTCAATCTTGTATAAACCAAGTCCATATAAATTAGGATAATCAATAGTACAAAGAATACGTTCCATAGATAATGATTCAATATTAAGCCATTTGATTTCATAATGAATTTTAGGTAAACTCTGTAAACAAAATCGATCAATTATTGTATCATTTAGTGGAATGATTACATCATCTACATCATCGGATGACTTTTGCAATAATGTTAAATGACTAGTAAAGATTGGATCACATATAATTTTATCGAGTCGCATATTAACATCAACTAAAGGAATAGAGTAAATTATATATATTTTAAAAGAACATAAAATTCTCAGTTCAGCTGACTACATTTGATTTTCTCCTGCAATCTAGAAATAGA